TTACACAGAGAAACCCTGTCTCGGGGGAAAAAAGGATTTAGACTTGAAAAGCAGTCATCTCTTCCAGAGAAATAATTGAATTCAAATGATGTTGGGTGTATATTTGTAGGGCATGAGTATGTATGTACATAAGGAAGTTATAAACAGCCTCTTTTCTAAAGAAGCTGGCCATTTTAGGAAGGCAACTTGAATGTTTTTGTTTTTGTTACAGTCTCAAGGTCCAGGCTGGCCTAGAACTCCACAGAGGATGGCTGTGAACTGATCCTCTTGTCTCTATTCACGAACTGCTGGAATTACAGTCATGAACCACCAGGATACCTGGATCAGATTCCTGGAGTGTGTGTTTGTTTCAGTAATGGAGGTTGAATCCAGAACCTCATGCATGTTGTGCACACGCTGTATCGGTTGAGCTATATCCCCAGCTTCTGGGAAAGGTGTTTTTAATAGGATATTAATAGGTTGTATCTTGAACATAACACCTAGGTCTTCCTTCCTTCCTTCCTTCCTTCCTTCCTTCCTTCCTTCCTTCCTTCCTTCCTTCCTTCCTCCCTCCCTCCCTCCCTCCCTCCCTCCCTCCCTTTTTTGAAGTGATAGATAAACTTACAGTCTCTATTTTAAGTGTTTTGTAACACTTTTGTCATTTTATCTGAAAAACTTGCCAGCATTTACAAAGTCCTTGTGTTTACAGAATAGTTTGGACAGTTTTTCTATAGCAATTGTGGTAGACATTCTCTACCCTACATTTATTTTTTTTAGGACTTGCTAATTTCATACCTAAGGAGCCAAAATTTTAAAAATTCCCGAGGAAGCTACTGAGCCGCCTTTGATAGTTCCAGCTATTTGGTCTCTTAAGGAATTAATGTGACAGTTTAGTAGTGATTTCAGGGCAGGTCTGTTGCATGTATTTGAGGGTAATGGTGATGGACAGTGGCTTGCCTTTCATGGCCCTTTGTGCATTAGGCAGGTGTCATGACTGCTAGAATTCATTTACAGGAACTGCCTCTTTACTACTAAAACCCATTCTGGCCTGGTTTGGTGGCACATGCCACAAATCTCAGCATTCTGTAAGTGGAAGTAAGAGGATCATGAGTTCAAGGCCAGCCTGAGCTACACAGCAAAACCCAACCATAACACCTCCCTCTACCCCCCCACACACACACAAAAGGGAATTTGATGGAATGGAGGATTTCTAGGGAGCCTCCTGTTTGCATGGATAGGAGCTGGGGTTATCTTGGTTGTGGGAAACCAGAGAACAATAGGGACAGGGGATATAGAGTTGATGTGGATAAGCTGCTAAGGGTGCTTCTCTGTGTTGAAGGTATCACCAAGGTACTGCTTATTTTCAGTAATAGTTCTCTCTTGGCTTTGTGGTACTAGACAGGTTTGGAGATCAGTGTCTTTAAATTTCTAAACAAAATAAGACATACTGTAGGCACCTTGAGGTTTGAAGGTGTGTAACTAATACAGTTGTATGTATCTGGGCATATTTTACATATAAGTATGTACCTTACTTAACTCTACTCTTTAATGAGATGCCCTATGATCTAGGGGAGCATATTCTAGAACTAACTGAAAAAACCAATCTTAGTAGGAGGAACTTAGTTTGTAGTTCCTTTATATTTCAAGTCTCACAGGAAGTTACGTTCTGTGTCACTTTGGTCCATTCAGAGCAAGTCCCTATATTGTTTCTTACTGAGATCATTTGTTGGCTACATGTGGGCCACAGTTTTCTTTTTCTGTAAAATGGGATATGTAATAGTTATGTAATATGCTGCCTTACTTTTAGGAGTGTTATGAGGATTAACCTTACTGTTAAAACATGAAAAAACTCCTAGCATAATTTTGGGTGCAAAGTAAATGCTCATCAATATATGCTATTACTATTATCTCAGTTTTAAATCTGCACTCCCTGGAAATACACATGACACTCCTATTATATGAAGCACTGTCTAAGCAGCATATTACAGACCCCAAAATGCCTGGTAGTTTGCTTCTGTTTTTAGATCTTTGGTTCCCTGTGTACTACAGTTTTGATATAAGAACTAAGGCACAATAGTAAGACAATACAAACATTTCATTTTTAATTTCTAACTCTAGTATCTTAGTTATTCAAATAATGACTAATTGATTTTTCAGTTTGTTAAAACTCAAAACCATGGGTTAAATTTGACAAGTGATTGTAAAAATATGTTTACTTGGGGGCTAGAGAGTTAGCTCATTGGGTAAGAGCACTGGCTGTTCTTCCAGAGAACCCAGGTTAGATTTCCCAGCACTCACATGGTAGGTCATAACTATAAACTCCAGTTCCAGGCGATCTGAACCCTCTTCTGGCCTCTCTGGGTAGATGTGATACATATATATACATGAAGGCAGAACACCCAAACAGAGAAATGAATGTTTTAAATTTGAATGTTTTAAAAAAATTAGACATACACATGTACATAAAATTATTCCTGCTCTGCTTGTTCAACCCATCGCAGCCTCAGTCAGGAGGCTGGATTTTTAATTTCTTTGCTCGATATATAAACTTGTCTTAATTGAGGTTTAGTATATATACCTGGGTTGATTTAGAGCTGCGATCTGTAATGCTATAAAGCTAGAAGCTTGTGTTTGTGTCATAGTTGTGGTATATTAGTCAGCCCTTGCCTCTTCTACTAGCGTCAGGGCTTCCTGCTTTGTACCTTCCCTCTGATGGCTCATCTTCAAATGACATGTCATACTGTGTCTGATGGTTGCCGAGACTGTGTTTTACCTATAAGTTAAAAGCTCAATTTAAATTGAAGGCTGTCTCCATCCCTACCAAATAGGGATCGCCTAATTCTATAGAGTCTTTAGAAAATTGTGTTTGATATTAGGTTTATATGTAGCTCAGTGATAGAGTTAGGCATAGAAAAAGCAGAGTATAGGTCTACCTCCAAGTGCCTTACTCAGCTTAAGGAGGCAGAGCCATAAAGGTTTAATTAGTTCTTGACTCATCTCTAATACTGTGCCTAAAAATATTGTGTAATTTGATTCATTGACTATGGTTGTGTTGTAAGCAATACTGCTTGAAACAAATGACCCATTGGCTGGAGAGTGGAATACTTGGTCCATTTGGTAAACAAAACAATTGATAAGTGATGGGTAGTAAACACCTGACTGTAATCCCAGAATTCAGGAAGGGAAGGCAAGAGGATTGTGAGTTCAAGGCCATTTTGGGGTACCTAGGTAGACTTGTCAAACTAGAAAATAAGATAACAACTGATTTAAGGCTTATAAATTTGAGCTTGGTTATCTTGTATTTTAATTGGTAAGCTTTTTATGGCTTACCATAAGTGGATATAAAAGCTTATATGAAAAAACAAACACCATAGTAAAAACATTAAAAATCTTAAAAGGGGAAAGGACATTAAGCTTACATTATTTTATATATGCAGACATTAAACATATCTGTAATGACAGCAGTGTGGTACTAAGTGGGGTGTTCGTTACATCTAGAATCTCTGCACTCAGGAGTTAAAGGCAGGATCACTGAAAGTTTCAGACTAGCCTAATCTATAGAGCAAGATCTGTGTGTGTGTGTGTGTGTGTGTGTGTGTGTGTGTGTGTGTGTGTGTGTGTATGTGTATGTATGTGTGTGTGTGTTTTAACTATAGCTGGATTAGGGAATCTAAATTAAAAAACAAAACCATTCTAGAAGAAAACATGGTGAATTCTATGTTCAGTTTCATCTGAACATGGTATGAGATTTTCTGACTTAATGCAAATCCAGAGGTAGCAAGCCAATGACTCATAGATTTTACTGTATTTGAGGGACAATTTCATTAAGAGAGGAACAGACAAGGGTGCCTATTATCTTTGCTCTGCTTACTAGTATACTGGAGATTGAGTTAGTACAATTAGAAGAATTAGTCATGCTGGTGTGGAGGCTTTCACGTCTTTGATCCCATCACTTGGAGGCAGAGGTGGTTAGACGAATGAGTTGGAGGTCAGCATGGACTATATAGGGAACCCTATCTCAAAAGTCAAGAAGTAGTGTACCATTTCTGTTGTTTTCAGGTGATGTGGTACAGGTTGTATAGTATGTCCCTTATCCAAAATGCTTGGGGCCAGAAGTATCTTCATTTAGGAACTTTTTTTCTTCAGATTTTGAGGTGTATATGTGTATGTGTAATGGTATAGGACACAAGTAAACATGAAATTCTTTTGTTTTAAATTTACCTTTTACACATAGCTGGAAGGTAATTTTATACACTCTTTTTAGCATTTATTCTCTTTGACTAAAGATCTATTAATGGATCAGATGTGGAATTTTCTGTTATTTTTCATTTTTTGGTAGTACTGGGGATTGAACTTAGGTCTTGTGCATGCTAGACAAGCATTTACCATATTCCCTAGCTTTCTATTTTTTTTACTTAATTTTGAAATAGGATTTCCTATTTGTAGAGGCAGGCCTTAAACATTGATCTGTCTCCCAAGTAGCTGGGATTATATTCAGGCTTGTGGTACTAGGCCCAGTTGCTCTAAGTATGGAATATTCTTGTGGCAACGTGTTGGTACTCAATAATGTTTTGAATTTTGAAACATTGCAGATTTTTGAATTAGACAACTTCAAAGAATTGATGAAAAATTTAACTTGGGTGTGGTGGCCTATACTCCCACTTGGGAAGTGGTGTCAGAAAGTTGAGGAGTTCAAGGCCAGTCTGGGCTATATTGGACTCTGTCCTCCCAAATACTGATGTTCAAAGCCAAGTAGCCTTTGCTATATACAAATAACTAAAGGGCATGATGGCAGCAAGGGAAACCTACTTAGAGAAGCAACAGAATTTATCGAATACTAGGAACAAACCCAAAGAAAAACATGTAAAACTTCTTACATTCCTGAGATACAAAAGTAGACGTGAAAAATGGGAAGATAACTCTTGGCTTAGGGCCTTACTATAAAGGCCATACATAATACCAAAAAATATCAACAAGCTTGTTTGTGCAGAGTTAGGTTAACCCTAGAGAGCACATGGAAAAAAACACATGTAAGAATGACTAATGGAGGTTCTTGTCTTCAGGATAACTGGGATGATGATGATGATGAAAGTAAAGAGGAAGCAGAAGTAAAACCAGGTGAGCACTAGACTCCTTCATTGTTTTAAACCAAGTGTCTCTCTGTACTTTATTTTCCTCTTCCTGTATTACTTCTCTGTCCTCTCAACAGTCAGATTAAGTACCTGCTGGTTTTCTGTTAGACTGCTGGGTCATCACGTGGGAGAAAAGAGTAGAGGAAATGATAATATGTGAATGATCTTACCTTGTCTACTTGGATCTTTGGGGATAAGATTTGAAAGGAAAAGAACTTTATCATTTCCAGAATTTCACCATCTGAAAGCTAGGGGAAGGTTTCATCTCTTCAAGTGTTCAAGCATCATGTCTGCCTTAGCCATAGACTAGAAAGTATCCAATATAATTGTAAATAAAATATTTCTTTCAGAAGTAAAAATTTCAGAAAAGAAAAAAATAGCAGAAAAGATAAAAGAGAAAGAACGGCAGCAGAAGAAAAGGCAAGAAGAAATTAAAAAGAGGGTAAGTTCTGTCAGTTTCCCTAAAATGCTTACAGAATTCATAATGTGTCAATTGTGGTACAGTGTCTTAACTGACTGACTGCAAATATTACCTAGTAACTTGAAGGGCTCTGTAAAGACACAATGGATATACCATAAAATAGGTGAAGCCCAGAACAAATTGATTTTGCAAAAATTGAACCCAGAAGTCTTATATCTGAAAATATTTTCAGTTTCATCAGAACAGTTAGATTGTGCAGTGACCACACTTACTGTTTTTTGCTAGCACCTGCAGTTTTGTTTTTTTTTCTTTCAGTGCTGGGATTGAATTCAGGGCCTCATGCATGTAAGTGATCCCTCTACTACTGAGCTGTATACCCAGCCCACCTGCAGCTGTTTCTAGTCACAGTTATACACAGTGAACACACTGAGCAAACCTCTGTCGTGTCCTAAAGTGGTTTTATTCTTGATTATTTGTAGCAGGATCCAGAAATTCTACCTTATTATTGTGTTGCAGGTTTTGCCAGGGTGTCGGGGTCCCCTGAAACTGGAGTTACAGATAGGTGTGAGCTGCCATGTGGGTGCTGGGAATTGAACTCGGGTCCTCTGGAAGAAGAGTCAGCGCTCTTAACCCCTGAGCTATCTCTCCAGCCCTCTATTGTATTTATTAATTTTCTCCTTAATAAGAAACATTTTCATAATTCAGACATAAAAACTTACAAACACTCCTAAACCTTTACTTATTCTGTCTTTCCCACTGTCCCACATGTAAACACTTGTCCCTTACCTTTCCAAGCTATCTTTATATTTCTGTATGTATTATCCCTATCTCTTTGAGATAGGCTTTAGCTGTATAACTTAGGCTGACCTTGAACTTGATTTCCTCCTGCCTCCACTTCCTAAGTGCTGAGATTACAGACATGCATCACTAACTGGCTGTCCTTTCTTGTATAGTTTCCACTTCAATTTTATTTACTTTATTGTAGAGATCTTTTCATACATAACATGTATAGTATGAATACTAACATGGAAATACCTCTAATATTTTTCTTTACTTTTT